CATATTTAATGCAATCCCAATCAAAACACTGATAGCATACCTCACAGAATTAGAGAAAACAATCCTAAACTTTATCCTAAACCGAAAGAGACCTAGAATGGCAAAAACATTTCTGGGCCACAAAGGCAAAACAGGGAACATCATAATCCCTGACTTGAAATTGTACTACAGCAACTGTGATAAAAAGAGCATGGTACAGGGGAAAAAAGAAGACAGGCCCTAGGTTCACTGGAACAGATCAGGAGACACAGAAACAAATCCAAACACACTGAGTAACCTTATCTTTGACAAAAGTGCCAAACATTCTCACTAGAAGAAAGATAGCCTCTTAATAAAAGGCACTGGAAACTTGGCTTTCCACCGAAGACTAAAATTACATGTCTCTCACCGTGCAGTAAACTAACATCAAAATGGACCAAAGATCTAAATATTAGAACAGAAACAACCTGCTGGAAGATAGAATAGGTAGAAACTCTTGTAGACATGGATGTAGGCAAAGACTTTATGAACAGACCTCAATGGAAATATTACAAAGATTTAACAACTAGGATATCATCTCATTAATAATCTTTTGCACAGCAAGTGAAGTCATCCCACAGTGGGTGAGTGAAGACACAACACACAGAGTGAGAAAAGAATTTTTCCAGTTATTCATGAGACAAAGGACTAATATCCAGAATATACAGCCCCTCCCCCCCAAAAACCCCTCAGATTCCCCAGGATTAAGGACGCAGTCCCAAAATGGGCACCAGAAATGAATAATCACTTCACAGATGAACAAGTATAAATGGCAAATAAATATATGAAAACATGTCCAACATCACCGATCATTCAAAAGATAAACATTAAAACAACCCTGAGATTTCATCTCACTCCAGAATAAATGGCTATTATCAAGAAATCAACCAGTAACAAATGCTGGCATAGATGTTTGGTGGGAGTGTAGACTTGGGCAACCATGTTGAGAATCAGTGTGGAAATTCCTCCAAAAACTAAAACTAGAAATTCCATTTGAACCGGGTATTCCTCTTCTTGGTATCTTTCCCCCAAAATTAAAAACATCATACCACAGCGATGTATGATCACCCATGTTCATAGCAACACAGTTTGTAATAGCTAAATCGTGCAGACACCCCAAATGCCCATCAACTGACAAACAGAGAAGATGTATTTTTTTAATAAAATGGAGTAGCTCTCAGCCATAAAAAAGAGGATAAACTGGAGACATTTCTGTATGAAAGGATCCATCTTGAGATCATACTTTTACATGAAATAAATCAATCCTACATGTGTAAATATTGCATTATTTCTCTGGTGTGAGAAATTGAGAGTCTAAATGAGGACCAAAAATGTAATAAATATTAGGAAATAGGAAGAACTTGCTCAAATATGAAGAAGAACTCAAAAGAGGGAAGGGAAAAGAAGCAAAGGGAAAAGAAAAATGAGAACAGGAGGATAAAATGGAAGCAAAGCTTTTGTGATAAGGAGGGTGAGAAGGACTGAAGGGAGGAGGTGTGGATGGGAAAGGAGAGGAATGGAGAAGTGTCATGGACGGGTACAAATTCCCTACCATGATTGTTATCATGGTGGGATAGCTAAATTGTACCAAGAAACTTAATTAAAGCAAAGAAATGAAAGAGAAAAATATATTTACCATTGTGTGCCAAGCGCATTCTAATCTTTTATGCATATTAAGTCCATTCATGCTCACTCTCCAGAAATACTACTATTGCCGCCCTCCTCCGGATGGAGTACTCCAAATGGAGAATGGAGGCACTCGGGGGTCAAGTGAGTGTGTAAAACCACATACTAGGGGGTAAGAGCAGTACTGACACCACGGCGCTGAGGCAGTCCTGAGCCTGCGTTCTTCACTACACGTCTTTCCTCCTAAGGACCCGCACAACGAGACTAGACATTCTTGTAGGCTGCTAGAGGTGAATGTTGACAAGCTCCTTTTGAAAAATGATGTACAAATGAACTTGTAAACAACCACACATTAGACCCAGTGAGTACACCTTGCAAAATTCTCTCTTTAACCACTAAAATTCTGGACAATATAAAACTTCTATCCACAAAGAGGCTGACAACAGCACTGTTTATAATAGCAGGAAAAAAGATAAATTCAACAAAGGAGATTACTTAAGTGAGGGATGTTTTATCTGTACAATGAAGCACACTAGCTTCATTATCTTAATAATGCCTGTGTCATGACGGTAGGTGAAAAATGAAATGTTAAGTGGTCTCTGAGAATAAAATTGTTCTTGCCTAGATTTTTTGAAACAACAGAAAGGAGAGGAATTACATTAAAATGCTCACAGCAGCTCTTTCAGATAAAGTTGTACCTTTTTTGGGTTTCCCAATTTCTGTAGTAAACATGGAGTATTTTTGTACTTGAAAAAGAAACTGTGGGTAAGTAGAACACAAAGCAGAAGCCGAGCTCTCCCAGGAAGACTTGGGGTAGGAAGACCAAGTTAGGCCCCGCCCGCCCGGAGTCTGAAGCCACTGATTTGCCTTGTTTTCTCATCCAAGAAATTCTGCTTTGACATTGATGTATGTTATGCAAATGTGTTTTGAATGAGTGGCTAGGCAACTAAGTTAAATAAACATGCAGCATTAAAAATAAAGGGAAAAGTGGGTGCAGAGAATGGTTAAAGAAATGGGTTTGTACAGAAAAGTGTCCTTCTCAGAGATAATTGTGAAGCCTTCTGCTTCTGTGTGTGCTCCATGCCCCACTGGAGATCTGAGGACTTGGTCTCATTGACTCTTCTGTGCAAGGCTGTGGGTTAAGCTTCTCCTTCTCAACCCTGGATGATGAAATCTCAAAACACGGGGAAAAACAGCTAGGCTGAGGATCAAACAGAAGGCGTTACATCAATGAAAGTCAATACACAAAGAAGCAGCGTTCCCTCTGGACAAAGGCTATAAAACAAGAACCTCGTTGATTTAAAGGACACATTGCCCTCCGGTTGAGGGAAGCTGAAGGTTTTAAACTACATCTAAACTTTTCTGATATAATCCTCTACTTCCACTTCTTTGCACAGAACAATTTCCATTTGTGTTTATAAGAACGTAGCATGTTTCAGTCACCAGCATGGTTTTGTGGGTCTAAGTCAAGAGAAAGAACTCCAAATTTGGGACCAATTATGTCACTCAGATTATCCCACCCATGGGAGCTCTGAAATTTATTACTGAGTACAAAACATTCCTGTTCGGGAATTTCCAAGATTGCAGCGGAAAGGATGTGCCCCTCCGTCACCTGCATACTCCTCCTCCACTGCTGAGCCAGAGAAAGAGCCCTGCTTGGTCCCCATGGCCACACAGAGAAAGCTGCTTCTCTGCCCTTGCCCTGCTGGTACAAGGTCAGACACAGCTGGCCAGGAGCACACCGGCGGACCCCTGGGACTCACAGCTATGTGGCTTCCCTGAAGGCACCCGCAGACGTCTACACACTGGGTTTCCCATCAGTGTCCCAGACTCACTGGGGAGCACACCTGAGCTAGCCGAGGCCTGAACCACTGCAAGAAAAGTGCTGATCCCATGAAGCAAACAGCTGGTGACACCCACACTTTGTGACCTGGATCTCAGATATGAACACATTTCTTTACCAAAAACGAATCATGTGTAAGACACTGAACTAAGCGCCTGATATTCTAAGATCACAGTCCGCTGACAGAGGCAAAACATAAGCTGACAATTAAAGAGGTACATCAATACTGAGGGAACTTACTAAATTGAAATTGGAAGGAGATTGGAGGGGAAAAAAATGTCTCAGAGAAAAATATGGCTGAACTGTTTCAGAATTCAGTGCATCCCTATAGCAGACCTAGAAGCCCTCAGAGTTAGAGAAATATGAATCTCCAGGACTACTCCATGGAGAAACAAACTGTGAGTCTGTCTGGGTCTCAGGAAGTGAAGGACACTCAGGCTATAAAAAACAAAGCTGAGGCCACAGACCAGCTCTACAATATGGAGTTTGACCATTGCTATCATGCCCACAGGGACAGGGCAAATCCCTAGAATGGCAGATCCCGGGGAGTTTTTGTAGGGATGCAACTCATTCCTAGTGAGACAATATGATAAAGTTTTGCAAGGTGCAAAAGTCACAGTTCAACTTGGTTTTAGGGGGAGACACTCTATGGATCACCCAGGCAATGGTGCCACCCGGTCTGTGCTCTCAACTCAGGGGATGAAAGGCACATGTGTGGGTTCTTAACTTGCTAAAAGGGATCCTTCTGCTTGGCTGATCACTTATGTGTTGGATGGAGATGGAAATATCCTCAGTTTCACAGAATGCTCTAGAGTATATATTCAGTTCTAAGAAAAGCACTTCATTTGTCTGGTTAAATTAGCCATGCCCATTACATATGCCTTAAAACTGAACTAAAACAGGCCAACATGGAGTTCATTGAAGAGAAAATTAAACTAAATATTTTCAAGTTGCAGAAGTGGGTAAAAGCTAAGATCTGAGCTGGGTTATAGAGGTATACAAACTTAGGATTCTGTGGGAGGTAGGGAAAAATTCTCAAGGCACAGACTTTTCAATTATGCTGTTTTGTAAAGTCAGTGATGACAATGCATCTTGCAGTATTATAAATGCATTCTGAGCAAGGAGATTTCATCACATGGAGGGGACCGGAAGCCTTTGAATGATGACTTAGGCCAAGAAAGTGATCACAGCACTTACTGGAAAAGCACTGAAGAGAACCAAAAAACTAACAACATTTTTCAGATGTTGTCTTTATTATTCTCTCCCTCTTGATCCACCCTGCGATTACCCTACCTCTAAAGCCCACTCCAAATGCACAAACTCAGAGCCACAAAACAGATTGAAATCCCCTTTGCTATTAATTAAAATATTTTCCTCAATTTTAAAAGAAGTCTTCTTGAGCAGCCAGGCATTGTGGTGCATGTCTGTAATTGGTAGGCTGAGGCAGGATGATTGCATGGTCCAGACCAGCCTGGGAAATTCCTTGTTGTTTCAAAACAATAAAACATGACACTTACAAACTAATTTCTTTATTAGGTTCAAAGCAGCAGAGAGAGACCCAAAGATTACACTTTCCTTAAAAATGAATAGTAGGCACTAATTAGCTGTTTGATTACACAGAGAGTATTCAAAATCTGATTCTGACAGTCCTGTAGGTCTGTATTGGTTGCCTGTCTCCACCACAAATTCTGCAAAAGAGACAGATGGAGAATTCTCCTGGGTCTCTGGGATACCCAGTCCTGAAGTTCAAATCTGCCAATGAGCGACATTCCATCTTCACAAGGGTAGATTCGGAGACAAGGCAGCCAACACAGCAGCCCTGTAGCCAACTTGTTTCGAGCTGATGGGTGGTGCTCAGTTAGGGCGCCCTCTGGCCCTCACACTGCTATGGGCTTCTGTGCCACAGTGGGCTGTGAACAGTTGGAACCCCATCTTCACACAGTGAAAACAAAACACAGGTTGAGTGTTCTTAGTCCAAATATCCAATCTCTGAAATGCCCCAAAATTGAAACCTTTTTGAGCACCAAGAGGATGTCAGAGAGGGAAAACTCTGTGGTGTGAAATCATATCTCATGTGCCAAATCATTAAAAATAAAATTAACTTCAGGTTATATGTGGAGGATAAATGAGAAACAGTCTGAAATCCAAAACACTTCTGGTTCCAAGGATTTCAGGTGAGGGATATTCCACCTGTAAATGATTTGTATCTTTATTTTGAAGGAATTACCGATTCCTCCTCCAGGAGAATGAACTTGAAGTTGGCATTCTACAACTCCCAGGAGGCCAAGCATTCTACAGAAGACAAGTCCATTGTTGTTTCCTCCAGCACGGGGCCAACTGTCCCTTCTTCCATGTCAGTTGTGCACGCACCCTCTAATGGTCCTTCTGATGATCTGGAGAAGGAGCAGAGCAGTAAGTGGTGGGCACAGGGCCTCTCTGAGCTGCAGGCACCAGAGTACATTGCATAAACCCACACTGACATTAGGAATCTGTTTCCCTGGAAGAGTTACAGCTCATTACATCATGTTGCAGTGATCCACGCATACCCATGTTTATAGCCACACACTTCAAAATCCCTAAATCCTGTAAGCAGCCTGTAGGTCCATCAACAGATGAAAGGATAAAGAAAATGTGGTGTTTACAACACAATGGAATTCTAGTGTGTCATAGAGAAAGATATATATATATATATATATATATATATATATATATATATGATATACTGCTAGTTTCTCTTAGTTCATTGAAAAGGAAGGTTTGTGGCTAATATTGTTTGGTCAATTAAGTGCCTATATCTTGTACTCTGAGTAACTAATTTAAAGATAACAAGGCACAATGTATTAACCATTGTTAGATACCCTCCTATTGTCTTGTTTTGGAATTTTTCTTTCTTTCTCTTGAAAGTAAAAAACAAAAGATAAATTTAAGTCATTTGTGGAAAATGAATGTACCTTGAGATCTTAAGTAAAATAAATAAGGCACACACAAGCTTGAATATCACTAGATTTCTCTTACATGAGATTTTGTATGGTAGAGTAATTTTTATCCTAAGTCATTGTTCTAAGAAATTAAAAAGTAAAACAGAAACTAAGAGTCTAAATGATTGTAGTGGTGCTGGGTGGGTTAGAGAGGGTTTATGAAGGACAAATGTACAAATAAAAAGAAATATTTATTATGGTAAAGGTTACTACATTTTAAATTTTATTTTAATACACCAGTGGAAACCAAAATAGAATCTTCTATATTTAAAACAACAAGGTTTTCTTAAAATATGGACCTCTTTTTAATAATATTCATGAAATATTAGCTTAGAAAACAAAGACTGTGTGTTTGACAGAGTTTTAATTATTTAAGGAACTGGGTTTAAGTAGTGTCAGAGTTTTTTAAGTGTCTCTTTGTTGTGATCCCTTAAATTGTCAGTTTGTGACACTGGTTAAATAAACAATCATTACTTGAGGTTATAGGGAAAAAGAAAAAGAAAAACCCAAACTATAAATAAAGAACAAAATAAACAGTAGATAATAAAAAATCTTTTGCAAATGGGAAGGGGACCAAGAGATGAAGGGAAAGGGGAGAAGAGGGAGGGGAAGGGAACAAAAGGAGAACTGAGACGTGTTATGTACACGTACCAACTTCATACATACCAGGAATGTAAATATTAAGCACTGTCAACATGTTCTAATAAAAAATTAAAATTGTAAAGAATAAAAAAAGAATGTCACAATTCCACTGCCACCAGTAAGAGTGAAAAGGAAAAGCCTCAGAGATCTATTTCCTCCTTCATGTCCTAAAGACAAATAATTCAATTTGCAAAGACATTTCTGGCGATTTTTTGGTTGCCTTGTTTTGCTTTGGGGTGGGTGTGGTCTAGGACAGGCGTCCAAGAAGAATGGCTTTGGGGACGTAGGGTTGATTTCAAGGGTAGCACCAGCTGGCTGTGTCTGGTGCCCACGGATGCATATCTTCTTCCCAAGATGAATTGTAACCCATAGCCACTTGGAGACAGAAGAGTGACGTGAACCGAGGAATCCACCTGATGTGACAATGGGAGTAAAAGGAGTGATGACTGGCGGGAAGTAATTGAAAGCCCCCATGACCATCTTCCTAGACGAAAGTATCTTCCCTGAAATGGCCCAAGTGAACTGAAATGACTTCCAGGCTGATCTCATGGAAACTCAACTCATTCTCTGTTGCTGGCCAAGGAACACTAAGATCTTCAAAGAGAAAGATGGCTGTTTATTGAGGACCCTTCCCAGAGACTGCAGGTCAGTGAACATTTGGGTGATCCCTGGCCTGCTAAAGTCACGAGAACACAAAGTCCCCCAACACCAGGGGCCACAGAACAATGCTGATGAGCTCATGGAGTCCTTGCCAACGGAAGCAGCTGTGACCACAGCATAATTTTGAAAATCACAGTAAGGGGCAAGGAGGTGCTCATGGGGATCCAGTGGGAAGGGAAGGCACGACTCTGGGTTGTGTGGATCTATAGGGAGCTCAGGGCAGTACTGTTCAGAGGTGGGCTTGGGCCTGTGGTTATAGTTGTCACCTGGGTCTTGATTAGCACAAGAAAACAGTATCCCAAAGTGAAATGCAGTCACCACTTCGTGTGTCCAGTTTCAGATCCCCTGTTTACCTAAATCATTGAATGCACAAGTTCCTTACGTAAGGTGGCATAATATTTGCACAGAACCTACACACATCCTCCTGTGCACCTTCAATCATCGCTAGTTGATATGATGCTAATGTGAAAAGGCTATGTCAGTAGTCATTTCACAATGTTCCCCAGAGAATGATGACGAAGAAAACGTCTGCACACGCTCAGCAGAGTGGTGTCTATTTTCCGACTCCTTTTGATCCACATGGTACAATCTCACAGACTCGGAGGGTTGACTGTATTGTACTCTGTTCACCTTTATGACTAATTTGCCTTTGCTGGATTCCAAAAAAGGAATTTTCTCTCTTTCCTCTTCTTAGTAAGAAATAACCAGACAAAGAAAGCAAAAGAAGCCCCTAGAACTGCAGAGGAGTTTGAAAAACTTTCAGTGAGGTTGAAACTAAGCATACAGGAGAAAATTCAGATGCACACCAATAAAATAGCGTTTGTCGATTCCCTGAGCTCAAATTGTGCTCCATGCTAATCACCCAGATTTGATCATTGCACAATGCATATGTAAATCAAAGTATCACATTATATTCTATAAATATACACAATTATTATTTGCCAGTGAAAAATATTTTTGGTCCTAAAGACTGAAAAAGAGCCATCATGATTTGTTTCTTTTTAATTTTTCAATTTTAAGACAACTTTGCTAAGATGTTAAATTGCCCATGCTGAACTCAAATTTATGATCTTTCTGCCTCAGGCTCTCAGAGTGCAGAGATATGTGTCAACATGTCTGACTCAAGACTGTTTTCTTATCTTTCTTTTTGTTTGTTTGCTTGTTAGTTTTTGATACAGGGTCTCGTTATGTCATTCACGCTGGCCTTGAGCTTACTATGTAGGCCAAGCTGGCCCAAACTCACAGCCATCCTCCTATCTCAGCTCCCAAATGCTGGGATTACAACCCAGCTCAAGATTTTTTTTTTTAAATCATGGGTAAACTTCTAAAAAGAAAAAAGTAAAAAGAAATCCTGTCTCTTTTGACAACATAGATGAACTTAATAACATAAACCAAACACAGAAAGGCAGGTGTTGCAGGGACTCACTTTGATGAGGAACTCATCAAAATGAGAGGGGAATGGTGGTTGGGGGACAGCAGGAGGTGAAATCAAAATCTGCTGATCAAAGAAAGCAAAATTTCAGCTGGACAGGAAGAATAAGTTCCTAACATACAGCAAAGGAACTATAGTCAATAATAATATGTGTTTGAAAGTTGTGAAGAGAGAAGGACTTACAAGTCTCTATCACAAAAATGCAAGCGTGGTGATGGCTGTGTTGACTAGTTGACTTACTCATTCCATAGATTGTACCTCCATCAAGCATTATGCTGTATATTTTTAACATTTTCAGTTTTATTTGTTAATTATTCCTACTTGTTATCGTTGTGTCTGGATGTCCCTCCAAAGCCTCATCCAGTCATGGAGATGGGCTTCTAGAGCTTGTGACTGATCCACAGTCCAATGCTGGGATTATGGGTGTGAGTGCTACACTCAAGTGCACGTGGCCTACATACACTGTGAGGGACAGATGCTCTCCCTTTTTTTGCTTTCATTGCTTTTGCTGTCTTCCACCGCCATGAATTGTTGTTCGTCTGCCGTGACTCCCTGACTTAGAGCCAGCTGATTATGGACTGAAACCTCCACAAACTATGAGCTAAATAAATCTTTCCTTTCTTCATTTTGGGCACCAAGTATTTTGTCTCAGCAATGAAAGAAAATTAACCAAGACACTAATGAAGCTGAAAGAATAATAACATGAAATAAGCAAAAACAGGCACAAACCAATGGAATAAAAAAGAGAACCTGGAGGCGGTAAGCTCCAGGAAAATACAGTTAATTAATGTTTGGCTAGGGTGCCAAGAACACACAGTGAGGAAAGAACAGTCTCCTCACTAAATGGCTTTGGGAAAAAAATGGATATTCATACAAAAAAAATACTGAAACTCGACCTTTGTCTTGCTCCATCCTGAAGAGAAAAAGCAGAACAACGACCTCAAGGTCAGTGCTCTCTGAGGCCACCACACCAGGGTGCATCAGGCAGATACTTGGCACTGACATTAGAAATGTAATCTTTCACACAAGAATGCTTTGTCACAATTCCAGTGTCACAATAATGATAAAAACTAAGTCAAAGTGGATTAGAGACTTACATATAATATCTGAAACTGCAAAACTTTGTAAATAGGACAGCAACTTAACATCAGTCTTGTGAAACTTTTCAATAAGATGCCAAAGGCACAAGAATACGCAAGTGAGATTACCATAAGCCAATCCTCCTGCACAGCCAGGGAAACAACCACCCAAGGGAAAGACAACCAAAAGAACATGAAGAAATATCTGCAAATTATATATCTGATAAGGAACTGATATCTAAAATATTTAAGAAATTCACACAGATCAAAAGTGAAAAGGCAATCAAACCAAAAAAGAACCACATAGACATGCACACATGGAGACACACACATGTGCATGCACGTGTGTACATACACACACACACACACACACACACACACACATAGAAAGCAATCAAAATGGTTTTGTAAAAAAATGGCTGAAGAACCTGAATAGAGATTCTTATAAAACAGACATACAAATGGCCAGCAAGTATATAAAAATATGCTCAATATTACTAATCTTCAAGAAAATGCAAATCAAAGACAGGAGATAGGAAGTTCCTGATAGGAACCTGTTAGGATGATTATTATGCCAAAAAAAGAGATGCAGTAGCTGCTGG